TCCAATCCAAATATGACAGTTTATTGTGACCAGGTATAAGAACATTTTGGTCTTCAGTAATATACGCAGAAGGTGGTAAGTCTAACCTATGTAGAGTCAACCAATCCAATCAAATATAAAATATTCATCTTTTAGGAATTCTGCATAAATCAAATTATTCTTTCCATCCTTCACTGTTTGCTAAATACTTATTATATGAAAGCTGCAGGCCTAGGTACCATTGGAAATACAAAGATGAATAAAAATAGTCCTTCAGTTCAAAAAGCATATAGTCTGATACGGGAGACAGATCAGATACATAAGTAACTATAATATTAGACAAAAAGTGACCATAATACCAGGTAGAAAGTAAAACACGCTCTAAGAAAGACCACATGGGACAAAGGGAACTGGAAGGAAGGAGATACTTTGACTTCATACAGGGATTGGCAATAGTTTTGGATCTTGAAGGACTGGAGAAAGACCAGAGGCTGCTCCAGACAAGAATACAGAAACAAAGGCCTGCAGAGCAGCATGGAAGTGAATACTCGTAAGGAACATGGAGAAGCTCAGTAGAAGCACCATACAGAGTGGAAGAAACCAATGCTATTATATTAATAGAAAGGCAACTAGTGTCAGATTATAGACAGCCTGCACTGTATGCCAAGAAATGTAGAGTAAATAGAAAAGATTAATTCAGAAAGACCTAGGGGACACATAAGCAATTCATCACACATCGCACAAATATATTGATTATGCAAATATGCTACTCATTAACATTACTTAGGTACAAAGGGGTAAATACAGGGTAGCTTAATTCAGGGATAAAGGTATGATCTGTCTTTTAATGATTGAGGGTATTAAGTGGATTTTAGATGGTACCATAAAACTCTGAATAAAGTGTAACTAAAACTAGATTCTGTGTGCATAATGACACAATCATCCTTGTCATACAATAGAAGGTAGAAGAGAAATTGTAAGTTAAAACTGAGAAAGAGGTAAATTTGGGAATAAGGAGGTCCTGAAACACAGATAAATTTATTTTATAACATTATGGTTTTAAAATTATTGCCTAGGTTTACCGAAAAATAACAATTATCCAGCTAATATGCCAATAACAACTGAGCAATCCAGTGAAACAATGGAAATAAAAGCTTCATCACTTGGCCAGCAGGTGGCACTTGTCACTCGGTATAGAAAACAGCAGGTAATGTGGAATGAAGCTGAAAGTAGTTAGAAACAGATTACTCATTCATCTATTCAGAAGGATTAAGATGGGGACGGGTTGTATTCAGAAGTACAATTTATAATGAGGATCTTGGTTTGTTGACATAGCTTATCAATTACATGGAGGACAACCCCTTTACTCTATAAAATGCACCGCAGGAGACGGATCTTGAATTTGAGCTCTCCTATTAGGTTTACTGAACTTAGGTATTTCCCTTAACAAATATGATTTGCAATATATAAGTTTGTTGCTACTGTAAATGTTCTTATGTCCTTTTTGTCTGTATTTTTCCTACGAGACTGTGAGAAAAATGGTGCTGGAATTAGGCAAAAAGGAAATAAATTCCAACTTCACCATTTAAAGCTATTTGACTTGATTAAAATTATTTAACTTTTTTGGATTTCACTTTCCTCTTTGTTAAAATAGATATCACTAGCTGGAGTGTTGTAGGAATTAAATAAGATACCATGTGGAAACGATACCTTTAGATCTAGCTACTTCATTTTCTCCTACGGGACAACATCTAATGATTAGGATAACTCTCTTACCATCTAATCATTAGATACCCATAGAACCTAAAATACAGAAAGATCTTTGATTTATCTAGTCAACCCTTCATTTTCCAGATCAAAATGCCTGCTACCATTAAAGCTGAAATGCAAGAGAGTTAAGAGATAGGGTGTGCAGGTTTAGGTCATTTTTATACTCACTACCCAGGTCTGGTCAATGGATAAGTGGTCATTGGGAGTGGGAGGGAGGAAGAGAAGGGCAAATAATAACTACATGGCATATATTGTATGATTTTGTGATACTGAATGGGCGAATGGACACCAACAATAGACATACAGTGAATCACAGTAATGAATTAGCCAGTTCTTGATTTTCCGGTGATGTCTAGCCTACACCCGAAACTGAATGGGGCCAACGATGCCCTGTTTTTCTAGCTTTCCCATCCTTTCTTATATCACATTCCAAAATTTCTTCTAAAGGGTTTTAGAAAGAGGACAGGAAATTTACATCGAACACTGCATGATTTTTAGTCCTATTTTTGGCATCAGATAAATATCACCAAAACATAGTTTTTTAACACGTTCATGGATTATTTTGTAAAAGGAGGAATCAAGGTCATCTTCCAGAGGTCTTCTGTTCAGTAATTACCATGTCATAACTATATGAGAGTTGCATCATTATAACAAGACACGCCATTTTTAAAAGAGAGATACCACACAAATACTGAGTTTAATTTTTAAAATAAGTAAAATATGTAATTTTTAAAATATGCTTAGCATGTAATCTAAGTGACTGGTTCCATGAAAGAACAAATCAGTGCTCATCTCCAAGTGTTCCTTTAGGTTGTTTTTCTTACCTGAAATGCCCTATCCTTTTCCCTCTATTTATCCTAAATACACTTCAAGATACAAGTGTCACTTCCACTATATAACTTTCTTTGATTTTTCTTTTTTTTTTTTTTTTTGGACACAGAGTCTCTCTCTTCCCCCAGGCTGGAGTGCAGTGGCGTGGGCTCACTGCAACTTCTGCCTCCCAGATACTCCCACCTCAGACTCTGAAGTAGCTGGGACTACAAGGCGTGAGCCACCACACCCAGCTAATTTTTTTGTATTTTTTGTAGAGATGATGTTTCACCATGTTGGCCAGGCTGGTCTCAAATTCCTGACCTCAAGTGATCTGCCCACCTCAGCCTCCCAAAATGCTGGGATTACAGGTGTGAGCCACCGCGCCCAACCCCCCATATAACTTTCTGTGATTGAAGCTGCCCTCGCAGTAAACTTCTATTGCAGTGTCAATTACAATAAGAAAACACATTTGAATTAATATTACTTTATAGTGGTTGCTCATTTTTAAATAGCTGTTAGACTTGGTCCACAAAAAGACTGTATAATATCTGAGGGCATGTTTTACTTACTGATTCAACTACCTATTGAGTATATGCCAGGCACTGTTTTGGTTAATACAGATTCACAGTAAGTAAAATCAAGACTATTCCTGCTCTCATGGAACTCACATTTTGGTATTACAGATACTCTGTATTCCCCGTAATTCCCAGCCTGGGGCAGACCTGAGGGCAAGTATGTGCTCAATGATCACCTCAAAATTAACTGGTTGCCTTTGGTTGAGTGAACCTCAACCCAAAGCTTTCCTTGGTTACCACAAAAGCAGGGTCAGTTATAGGTCCCGAGTACTAGAAAGTATGTAAAAGATGTTAGGAATCTTTTCACAAAAGGATTTTGTAAAATTTTCCTTTTGCAAAAGGGAAAAGGAGGGTGGAGAGGGTTATGTCCTTTGAAGTACTGGAAGTGAATTTCTATATAAGTACTGCTAAATTTCTTTGTTTACATTTGAAACAAACTGAATCTATAACCTTGGCTTAAATCTTATAAAAAAAAATCAACTACCAAGAAAAAAGAATACAGAACTGTTGGCCCAAATCTGCTATTCCATCAGCTGCCATCGAATTCTCTACCTCAGTGATGAATACAACATCCAATCTTAAACAAACAACGAGCTAATTAAGTCTTGGTGATTGGCATTATTAGTATACAGGGGTTGGCTATGACCGCTATAGAAAAGAAAAACAATGTCCAGAGATGGCAATAAACATGCAATCAATTGTTAACGTGCTGAATGCCTTCATAAAGCTACAAAGTGTGGTAAATAAGAAACAAAACTAAAATATTTCATAACAAAAAGATCCGAATGTACCTAATTATTTATTAAAAGTCTGTGAAACCTTTATTTCTGACTTTTGTTATCAAACCCATGACTAGAGGTCTTAAAAACTGTAGAAAGTTGAGCCACTTTTTGGAGGTGGGGAGTGCTTAGGAGAATGTGTTTCCAAAGTGACTCTCAGTATCTTTCCAAGAGAGACCCTAAGACTCCAGGGTAAAAAAGAAGGCTCTGGTTTCTTTGGTTGTACTCTCAGGTGGTCTCTGACCTGCACTGCAGAGCCCTAACAAGCCAAGTGAGGTAAAAGAGTGATCTATGAGCCCAGGAAAACACTTACTATAAGCTGCTATGGCTGGGGAGCTTAACTCCCACTTCATCACTGAATTTTCTATTTTAATAAGCATTTTATTTCCTGACATCTACAGAAGTGTCCACACATTTGGACATATGCTGCAAGTGCTGTTTGAGGAAGCCGACAGGCTACACAATTAAAAAATAATGAATTCAAGTGCTAAATCTATAGAAATTTAATTATTAGTCAAGAAAATAAAAATAATTTTTCTACATGCCACATTTTCTTACACTCGAAATTGTCATGGTTACCTATGTTGATTGATAGTAATGTTTAATTTATTGAATTTTCTTAACAATTAAATATGACTTTGATTTTCTAAATTAATAGGTTAATGTTTTTTAAAAGAACTCTTTACCTTAAAACCCTCCCTCAGGGAGGAATGAAATAAAAACAGCCTGACCTTTGGAGTTACACAAACTTGTGTTGCGCCTTGACCACATGACCTTGGACATGCTAGCTGACTCTATAAGGCTCTATGAGCAGCTGTGGAGTAGAAACAAATGTCCCTATTTCTCACATGCATTGTTGTGTAGATGGGCTTAGATATCACATATACAGGAATTTTTTTTTTTTTTTTTTTTAACAAAACTCACCCTTTAGAACATGTCTTAGATCTAAAATTAAAAGACATCAAAAACGACAGAAAAAAGAGTATACACATTTTATCGTATAAACCACTTTAGTCAATTTGCACCTATGAAACCAACGGTTCAAGAGTCACGGGAGAACTGGCAGGAATTAATTACAACTCACCTGTGGCTGCTGTTCTGCCAGTCTATTTTGATACTTTAGGACCGACTCTCTAAGTTGCTTCTCTTTCTCATTTTTTGATGGTGATATTGTGCTCATGGTGCCCAGCGGGATGGAAGGTAGATGTTCTACCTGATGACAACTTCAGAATCAACAAGTACAAGATTAACATCAGGAGAAATATAAAACTACTTACTGTCTGTAAAAGATGATTTACTTCTATAAGCAGTTACTCTTTATGTCATATATCCAAAATTCAAATACAAAGGAAAAGCATTGTATTGGTGGCTTTCGATAACAAATAACCTTACATCTCCAATTTGCATGGAAAACAGCCTAATAAAAAATCTGGACAACAGCATATATTTACGAGGATGGGAAAGCGTCAATTATATTGCTAATGCTTCACTTATTCTACATTATCATAAAATGAGGCCTTTTGCAAAAATTATTTGAGATCACTGAGCTTATCTCATCATTGCCATTTCCCCCCCAAAAAATGGTAGCGAAATATGTATCTCTTTAAAATATAGCAAATAATTATGCCTCTGAAACATATGGATGACCCAGGATCACTGTGAAGACCAGTGACTACATGATGTGATGTAGGATTCAGCAACAGCCTCGGGAGGTAATGAGATGCGTTAGAGCCCCTTCCCCAAATCGCCCGCTGGTCCTGACAGCAGCATCCTGCCCAAGTGCTTGCTGCCATAAGAGTATCTGCTTTCCAGCCTTACAGATATGCTGTTCTAATAACTTGTGGGTTAGTAAATACATAATAATGTAGAATGATTTGTAAATGAACAATACACAGGCTATGGATCAGCATATCCCTTGTTTTAATTACAAAAAAAAAACCCGAATAACCCTCAAAGCTTATGGTTTGGAAGGTTTGAGGCCATTTTTCCTTTTCTTACTTCTGCGTTTGTGGCTATGTACTGGGGAACTGAGTCAGCCAAACTGCTGAAAAAGTAAGATATTATTTTGTTCACTTTGGTATCAAGGCTTAATACAGACAAGAAGTTCAGCTCCCACTGGGCATAGCTTTGATTCAGGGCATGGCGGGGAACATGCACTAGTGTCGTAAGACGCTGAGGTCAGTTCTGCGAGCCTGCTCCGGGTCAAAGAGTTTTCTATTATTGATTGGGGGTGGGGAGGGGAGAAGTTACACTGAACCACCAAAAAAAGGAGGAAGAGACAAAGTCACAGAAAATGCATGGGTGTTAGGCTAGGCAAGGGAGGAGGAGGCAGAGGATCAAGAGAGGACTTTCTCCCATCTGAAACAGTGAGGGAAAAGGGAGGCAGATGAGACCCACCATTTCTCTGTTTTTCAGGGCTGCAGCATATATTTTTCTCGCCCCATACCAGCAGAGAAGAGTTAGGAACTACAATCAAATTCAGGTACTACTGTGAAAAAACACTTAATTCCACCTACACATGGTGTTTGTTATTATCGCTATTTTCAAAGAAAGGTGCTAGATAAACAAACCCTAGGGACAACTTCTATACATACAGCAACCCACAGTGTTGATTTGAAGACAACTGTGGGGTGGCATCTATATAGGCTTCTACTTCATTTCAGAAAAGAACCTGTGACAACATTAAGTTTTTATTCGGAAAGAAGAAACCTCAAGCATTTTATTAGAATGCAATTCATTCAATTGTCTTCATTTAAAGATGTTTGGACACGAATTACACTTTAATATGCAATACAATCCATAGATATTTTTTAACATCCTTTTCAAAATTCAGACATTTTTGGTTCAGCCAAGTAATAGGCATCATTTTTACTCTGTTGGTAATCCCTATTTTCAGTGCAGATAAGTGCATAGTATGAATGCAATGGAAGCATACTGATCGCTATTTCTCAGATACTGTGTCAAAAACATACAGCCTCCCTCTGCGCTTGAAGTGGAAAACAAAACCAGGCTCCAATGGTTCGAAAAAGGAATGGCTCCACCTTACCCTGTCCAGGTTACTGAATACTACCATTTGTAAGATGTATTTTGTCCACTAAAAAGTATCTGAATGAAACCAGGCTTCCTGACGTGGAAAAGGATGCCTTCCAACAGACAATGTGGTAAGGCAGGAAGGGTACAGGTTTTGCATCAGAAACTTAGCTTCCAATTTCAGCTGTAGTGAAGAATTCTGGGCAAGTTACTAATCCTTTCTTAGCCTCTCTATTTTCTTCTCTGAGAAACGGGGAAAGTTCATAGGCCTTTTATAAAAATGGAATGAGATAGCATATATAATTGCAAAGTAAGAGAAAGTTATTACCATGTTTCCAGCCCAAGTTCTAGTTACACATTGTTCATTCAAATGCTGTCTGTTGGCAATGGCCTTGCTGACAATTGGCAATTAACTACTGACAAGAAACCGTATTTTCTGTAAATACAGACAATGACACTTTTCACCCCATTACTCTGTCCCTCTACTCATAGACTACTCCCTAATAAATAACTATACTTATCATCACTTTATTACACTTATTTTAAGTGATTCTATCCAAATCCAGTGGCACGTATGTCAGGGGTCTTGCCTAGTAATAATGTATTTTGAAGCATATTCTCATATTCTCAAGGTATGCATGGCCCATCCTACCATTTTGAATCAAAGGACTGAGCAAGGTCATCAGATTAATTTCTTCCCCCTCCCTGGGAATCATCATATCTACATCACCGTTAATGAGCTCCCATGAAGGAAGTGCCAAATCTCAATTAACTGCCCTTTCAATCAATTTTTCTTTACATCTCCCTTAAATCTCTTGTTGCCACTTTAAGCGTATTTTTGTCACAGTATTTTCCATGAAAATAAAACACAGATGGTTAATATCATGTCAGTATATTTAAAGAATCAAGGACTTAAGAAAATTATAAATATAGGAAAACTTTTTTGCATGATAGGCTTTTAAGGTCCATCAGTTTTCTGTCAACATGGCTAATTTATCTAGCCACTCATCACAAGTGGCACTGTTCTTATGTGAAAAAGAGACAGAATTAAATGAATACGATCTTGTATTTGATAGCACAAGGTGACTACAATCAACAATAGCTTATTATACATTTTATGATAACTAAAAGTACTATTTGAAATGTTCTAACACAAAGAAATGATAAATGCTTGAGGTGATGAATACTTCCATTTACCCTGATGTGATTATTACATACTACATGCCTTATCAAAATATCTCATATCCTCATAAATCTATATGCCTATCATGTACTCATACAAATTAAAAATTAAATTTTTAAAGAGAGACAGAATACAGCTTTGAAACTAATTTTACAATGCTCTGAGATGGTACTGTTACTTTTCAGAAGGGGGTGAGTCTGTGCCAGTGCAGGGACAACAGTAAGTTGAAGGTAAGGGAAACTGCAGAGGACAGCTTCCCAGTTCTGTGGGTCTGACAGTGCCCAAGACTGGTCTAAGAAGTCCTAGGGATAGGGTTACATCTGTGGGGAGTAGCCTAAATTCGGGGATCAAGGGCCTCCAGTGACCAGGGGCTTTCAGCAGATGGTCGTAACAATGGGACTTAGCTGGATCCAGAGAAGATGCATAAAGATCCTATTATTATACCACATTCCAGTGTATGGGAAGCTGGGTTAAAGGGGGGTTATATAATTTCTGAGATTTCACAGCTAATAGAACCAGGAGTCAAACCCAGGCAGTCTGTCTTCAGAGTCTGAACTCTAAATACAATCCTAGACTATATGAAAGTTCTTAGTTCATGGTAAGTTCACATGATTAACTATTCTTAATATTGAAACTGAGCAAATACTTTGTTCCTATTTGGGAGATATTTAAGTCCCAAGTTGGGGATGAACACAGGTTAGGAAACAGAAGATCTTGGCCAGTGGCTTCATACTTCGGTTTCTTAGCCTGGATTTGGGTTTTAATTCTGTTTTCCAAAATAAAGAAGAATAGATCAGTGTTTTATAATCATAGTCCCTGGAGCTCTAGGCTTTCTGCAGAGTAGGGAACAGAAATAAAAAATTGGACACCTTTGGTTCCCAGCCTCCAACTCAATCAGGATAGTTTTGCATTTATCTACTTTATTTTTGGGTTCTGTGACAAATTTTTATTTGGGAAAAACAAGGTTGCATTGCAAAACAAGAAAGGGATACAAAAAAACCTGGACCATGATTTGAAATCTAAGAGCCTTTGCCACCTCTGACATTTTTCTTCAGTCTCCAAATATAAACAACCTGGGGACTCTAGGTGAAAGGGGTTTTAGCAGCAGTTTCCAAATGTTTTCTTTTTCTTTTATCTTTTTGCTCTTCTTTTTCAGAGCCAGATAAAAAATAACCAAACAGGAGTTATTACCCTAATGTCTATATTAAAAATATTGACTCTCATATCCAGCTCAAAGGACTTAGAATAGACTGCATGGAAAAGCAATGCTTGACTTAGGGGTGCCTTTGTTAAAGGGGAATACTAACCATTTTCCCTATGGGGGAAAACACTAGTCTAAAAGGGCTTGTAATAACGTTGACACCCTTCAATATTTAATCAGTCTTTTTCCTGTTTTAGTTTGAGCTTTTTCCTCAAGAGTGTAAAGCAATGAAATCAATATATGATTTAAGCAGAAAAAGCATATGGTCTAACAGTTTAATGCCCTTGGAGACACTCTCTGAGTAACTAACATTCCTGTACAATAAGAGCATATGTTGTATGAAAATGAACTGGAAGGAAGAACTCTTAAGTACCAGGTTGTGGTCTCCCACGGGTGGAAGTGCAGAGCTGCACACCCCAACGTCTTCAGATAGTTACAACGAGATCTCTTTTATTTGATGGAAAAGCACACCAATGAAATATTCTTTGCACAGGTAGCAGGGCATTAGAATTTGAAGAGATACCAGATACTAAGCTAAAATCTATATTATAAGTTAACATTTTCAAAGTCCATACATATGAACTTTAGAAATTAAAAATGAATAAAGAATTTTAGAAAATAATCAAAAACTACCTGTTTTCCAAGCGGTTGGGATTATTAGCACAAATCCAAATGTCAAAAAATTCTTTTTCCTGATAATCAGTAGAGGAAGGCAAGACTCTCCATTTAAGACAAAGATCTGACAATCAAAACAAAATGACATATAAAAGAGATCAGAAATGAATCCATCATAGTAAGCTGTCAGTTTGCATATACCAGAAGTATGAGGTATCTCTCAATCCAAAGACAAGCGAATCCTGCATCATATACCATTATCCTTGATGGCACATCTACTCTAGGGTTCTATGAGCTACTTCAGGACCCCACCAACAAGTTATTATTATTATTGTCTCAGTTCCTTCCAGTTAGTTTCTGCTACTTTCAGCCAAATGAACCTTAAATAATACATCTACTTCACCTCTTCTAAAATCAAATTAAGAATTTCAGTGACTTGACTCTCCCATTTTCTCTGACCTACTACCCATCTGCTGACAACACCACTTTCTGTCTCCAACTACATGATTAACATAAGAAGGAACCATGGTCTCAACGAGTATAAAATTAAATGGAAGGAAGGAAGGAAGGAAGGAAGGAAGGAAGGAAGGAAGGAAGGAAGGAAGGAAGGAAGGAAGGAAGGAAGGAACGGACGGAGGGAGGGAGGGAGGGAGGGAGGAAGGAAGGATCAAGTTTTCTGAGCCATATACACATTTTCTTCTGTACTTTCTTCTGTTCTTAGTCCCCTCTCCAGTCTAGAGTTTCTGATTTCTTCACCCACTTTCCAAAACAGTCCTTCCTTGCCTTTAGGATGAAGGCACACTTGTCTCTCCAGGCTACACTTAGGTTTAATCCTGAATTCCCTCCAGATACACTGCTAACGGCTCATAGGTTAACACTTGTCTCTTTCATCTAAGGCAGAGACAGTCAGTATACACAAAGGTTAAGAACTTGAACAGCTCCACCTCTTACCACCTCTATGATCTTGGACAAATTATTTAACTTCTTATATTTCAGTATCATTATCTATTAAAAGATTAATATTATATTGTTCTTATCTAAAAGTTACTGAGAATGAAATGACATCCTCCTCCTCCTCATCATCATAAAAACCAACACTGCTAGACACTATCCTTAGCACTTAGTAAACTTTATTCACATTATTCTTAAAACTATAATGTAGCTACAAATACTAATCTCATTTCATAAAAGAAGAAACTGAGACTTAAAGAAGTTAAACAATTTGCCCAATTTTGTACAGCTCTTGGGTACTGGAGATTGGATTCTAACAGTACCTGGTACAAATCAAAATCACAGTAATTGTTATCCATTATTATTAGCATGTGACAAGCTGTCACATACTGTCATCAATTTCCTCAATTATACCTTCTAAGTATCTGTCATGTATGATTCTTTTAACTCTCACTGCCACACCTTCATTCAGACATTTATAATTCGTCACCTGGATCCTAGATTACAATAGTCTCCTGTTCTAGCCCTTCACCAAGTCATCCTTCATTGAGCTGCCAGAACAACTTTAACTACACGTTACCTGTGACCAGTCAGGTCTTCCTTGGAATACTCCCAGGCAAAAGGTCGGGGAGGTGCTCCCGGAGAGCTGTATAATACTTCTATAGAGTTTTACACACTATAGGCTGCTTTTTTGTTTGCTCATCTGTTTTTCTCTACTGAGCTGTTAGTTACAGATTAATATTAGAGACTGTCTTTAATTCCCTATCCCTTTGTGTAGTAGCTAGAAAACATATCAATAAGTGCCGAATGTAATTACCCTCCTATGGAAAAAATTCCAATACCTCCTGCTTGCTTATGAAAGTAAAACCTTATCCTGACATTCAAGAATCTCTAACATCTTTACCCAACCTAATACTTTTGTCTTATTATTTATTCATTGTTCAGTAATTCAGTTGTCAGTTATTAAATTCCTACTAGGTATTAAACAGTGTTACATATTAAAAATAGAAAGATGGCTCTTTCTATTACTCTTTCACAAACATCTTAGCTGAAGTGTACACCTGATATTAACTCACCTTTCGCTACTCCTCATCTCTGCCAGTCAAAATTCTATTTTAATTTATTTATTTATTATTTTTTTGAGACAGGGTCTCACTCTGTTGCCCAGGGTGGAGTGCAGAGGTACAATCACAGTTCACCACAGCCTCAACCTCCTAGGCTCAAGCGATCTTCCCACCTCAGCTTCCCAAGTAGCTGGGAACACAGGTGTGCACCACTGTGCCTGGCTAATTTTTGTATTTTTTCTAGAGGTGGGGTTTTGCCATGTTGCATAGGCTGGTCTCGAACTCCTGAGCTCAAGCAATCTATCCACCTCAGCCTCCCATGGTGCTGGGATTTAGGCATGAGCCACCATGCCTGGCCTGAAACTACTTCAAAGACTATCACAAATGTGACTCCACCATAGAATCTTGCCTCTACTCCCCAATCCTTTGCTTTGAACCCTCAAAAAATTATTTGTCTCTATTATATCATTTACCTTATTTTTCCCTGTATTACAATTATTTTCACACTTACAACTTTCTTCTAGACTGTAACCTCCTGGAAAGCAAGATGTCTTACTAACCTTTGTCTCCCTCCTCCCTCAATGACTTGCATCCCACAATGACTTGCATATTTAAGAACTCTTAATATTTGGTAATTAGAACGGAATTCAACACTCACCACATTGTATGATGAATGGGATACCCATGGCTTGTCTTCTTTGATGTTGAATAGAATTTAAAGGTTTCTCCATGTCGATGTCATTCTGGCATCCAAATTCATTGCAAAACAATGTTAGATTTCTATTATCTTAAAAAAAAAAAAGCAGGCAAAGAATAATGAAAAAATCACTAAAATCAAAACGATTGGCAAAGGGAAGTTTGTATATACAATATGATCTCAACTGTGTAAATATTAATACGTATACAGAAATAAGAGATTAAAAAATCAATATTGGTTCTCTGAATAGTGATGAGTGCAAACTATTTTCTGCTTTAGTCTTTTTGCATTTTCCAAATTATATGCAGTAAATCTGCAATGTCTTTATAACAAAACTAAGAACAATAGCATGTATTTTAAAAGTTACGTGTTTATGCAATGAAACATACTGACATTTAAAGCATTGTTCTTAAGCATTCCCAGGAAAGACTGTACTGATTACACTTTAAAGGGCACCCTTAAAAGTATTGATATAAATATTTATCTTTCTTATCTCACAGACAGAGGTGGGGTTTTTTTCATCTTTATTTTATCTCTGGTTCCTTTTCTCTCCAGTCTTTATTGTTTATGCACGATCCTATTTCCAAATTGTGTATTTCCTCCTTGCTTGGAAACACTACTTACCATGGAGGACTGTTAGAGAGTCGTTTTGTTCTTATTCTTTGAACCAGCAAATAGACTGTTAGGAATTATCCCTAGACACATACATAAGTTGCCATGTATATTATAGCATTGCTCGACTAGTAAAAAGTTGGAGATAATGTAAAAGCATATGAATAAAGAACTGACAAATTCTGTTCCCCAAAAATGGAACAGTGGGCAACCTTTAAAAAGGAAGAAGTAGAGCTAAACGTAGTGTTGCATTAAGATCTCCAAGTTATAGTTTTAATTAAAAAATATATATATATATCTCAAAGAGTATCCGTAGTGTAATTTTATGTAATGTATGAAAAGCCTGTCCATATAAAATTGCAATGTACATTTTCTTGAATGGATGCAAAAGAAAGTTTTAATAGTGGATATCTTTAGAGCAGAAAGAGAGGTAGAGAGGAAGGCAAGGGAAAATACTTCTACTTTTCACTTTTTATTTTTCTCAACACTTTGAATATCTTTACATGTGCATATAGTTAAAATTGAAAGGAAAAAAAGAGAATCCATGTTTGACTGTTTTGTCCAATATGATAACCACTAACCATGGCACCAGCCTTACAACAACCTTAACACATGGCTATGTAATCCATGAAAAATGCAAATAAATGATCTAACACCTTATTATTCCTGTTAAAATTTTGGCTCAGGGTGCTATGGGCCTTAGAGATCAGCAGAGAAAGAACTCAGCTTTCAAAAGGGTCTTCACAGTTGGGCTGGCCTAAGTAGACCTCACAAATTCCCAGGTCTGCCTTCTTGACCCTTCACAAAATCCCCAGCTGCTCTCGCTCCAAATTCTCCTACGGATTTGGCTTTTGGGGCTTTTAATTCAGACTTTCAATTTCTTTTCTTGGCCCAGTATTTGGTTTTTTTGGAGAATCAAGCAATTCCATCTTAAATACTAATCTGCCATGTTGACTTGTGATTAACCCCTGTTCTGGAAATGCCTCTAAAATTTCTACTTTATCTACTGTTACTGTAAATCCTGCCCTTAGGTCAAAACAACCCTTAACCATAAAACCTGCCGTTAGGTAGATTCACATCGCATTCTTACAATTCACTGAGGGGTTGACTTCAATTGTCCTACACATTCTTTCCCTATGGTTTTTAAGTCCTGGGTCTGGGGGTAAATGGCACAGGGATCCACCATTCTTATCTCACCACAGCCTAAGACATAGCTTTTGTTCTTAAGACCCTATTAAATGTTTCTTTCTAAGAAACTGGATTTGTCAGCCTCTTTCTTTGGCCTCTCAGCTTCCTCAGTCTTCGAGGGTAGCTTCATGTAGACTTGTTAACAGTGGAACTGTCTTGGTTCATCTCAAACTCTTCTTCTCTGTACACCAGATCCTGATGTACTACTCCTTGGTATCCAGAAAGGTTGATGAGGTTTTGCTTCTCTGATTTCTTTCTGTGTGTGTGTGTTTTTTTTATTATTATACTTTAAGTTCTAGGGTACATGTGCACAACGTGCAGGTTTGTTACATAGGTATACATGTGCCTTGTTGGTTTGCTGCACCCATCAACTCATCATTTACATTAGGTATTTCTCCTAATGCTATCTCTCTCCCAGCCCCCCACCCCCGACAGGCCCTGGTGTGTGATGTTCCCCACCCTGTGTCCAAGTGTTCTCATTGTTCAATTCCCACCTATGAGTGAGAACATGTAGTGTTTGGTTTTCTGTCCTTGGTGATAGTTTGCTCAGAATGATGGTTTCCAGCTTCATCCATGTCCCTGCAAAGGACATTAATTTATCCTTTTTTATGGCAGCATAGTATTCCATGGTGTATATGTGCCACATTTTCTTTATCCAGTCTATCACTGATGGACATTTGGGTTGGTCCCAAGTCTTTGCTATTGTGAATAATTCCTCAGTAAACATATGTGTGCATGTGTCTTTCTTTATAGTAGCATGATTTATAATCCTTTGGGTATATACCCAGTAATGGGATTGCTGGGTCAAATGGTAGTTCTAGCCCTAGGTCCTTGAGGAATTGCCACACTGTCTTCCACAATGGTTGAACTAATTTACGCTCCCACCAACAGTGTTAAAGTATTCCTGTTTCTCTACATCCTCTCCAGCATCTGTTGTTTCATGATTTTTTAATGATCACCATTCTAACTGGCATGAGATGGTATCTCATTGTGGTTTTGATTTGCATTTCTCTGATGACCAGTGATGAGGAGCATTTTTTCATGTGTCTGTTGGCTGCATAAATGTCTTCTTTTGAGAAGTGTCTGTTCATATCCTTTGCCCACTTTTTGATGGGGCTGATTTTTTTACTTGTAAATTTGTTTAAGTTCTTTGTAGATTCTGGATGTTAGTCCTTTGCCAGATGGGTAGATTGCAAATGTTTTCTCCCATTCTGTAGGTTGCCTGTTCACTCTGATGGTAGTTTTTTGTTTTGTTTTGTTTTGGTTTTTGTTTTTTGTTTTTTGTTTTTTTGCTATGCAGAAGCTCTTCAGTTTAGTTAGATCCCATTTGTCTATTTTGGCTTTTGTTGCCATTGCTTTTGGTGTTTTTGTCATGAAGTCTTTGTCCATGCCTATGTCCTGAATGGTAATGCCTAAGTTTTCTTCTAGGGTTTTTATGGTTTTAGGTCTTACATTTCAGTCTTTAATCCAGCTTGAGTTAATTTTTTTATAGGATGTAAGGAACGGATCCAGTTTCAGCTTTCTTCAGATGGCTAGCCAGTTTTCCCAGCACCATTTATTAAATAGGGAATCCTTTCCCCATTTCTTGTTTTTGTCATGTTTGTCAAAGATCAGATGGTTGCAGATGTGTGGTGTTATTTCTGAGGCCTCTGTTCTGTTCCATTGGTCTATACATCTGTTTTGGTACCAGTACCATGCTGTTTTGGTTACTGTAGCCTTGTAGTATAGTTTGAAGTCAGGTAGCATGATGCCTCCAGCTTTGTTCTTTTTGCTTAGGATTGTCTTGGCTATATGGGCTCTTTTTTGATTAAGACAGAATCTCACTCTTTCATCCAGGCTGGAGTGCAGTGGTGCGATCTTGGCTCACTGCAACCTCTGCCCCCTGGATTCAAGCAATTCTCGTGCCTCAGCCTCCTGAGTAGCTGGGATTACAGGTGCGCACCACAGTGCCTAATTTTTGTATTTTCAGTAGAGATGGGGTTTCACCATGTTGGCCAGGTTGGTCTTTAACTCCTGAACTGAAATGATCCACCTGCCTCAGCCTCCCAAAGTGCTAGGATTACAGGCGTGAGCTGCCGTGACTCACCTACTTCTCTGATTTCTACATTAACTATTTCGTCTTTACTATATCAAAGCAGAGGGTGCTGTAGATTAAAAGAAACATGGATTTGAGTGCTGGCTCTGTCATATATTAGTTGTATAGTAGTGGGCAAGCTACTAAGCTTTCTTATCTATCAAGTGAGTGACTGCAGTAACCTGTCTTGCAAATTTATCACAAAGAATAAATGTGAAGGCACACTAAAAACTATAAAACCTGGAAGATTCTGAGAAGATGATAGAGTAGGAAGCATCAGAAGTCTGTTTCACCACCTAGACAAAAATGGCACTGGCAGAATCTCATGTAACTATTTGGGAACTCTGGAGTCTATTTAAGGCTTGCAACTTTCAGGGGAAGGGATGGATATTAAATTGCAGTTAATTTCAGTCATTTCAGCTCTCAGCCAGTAGTAGCTACCCATCCTACACTCCATGTTCCTGGAAGATCTTTCACATAGCTTGATGAAATTAGGGCGGGGAGAAAAAAAGATCCTGTCCTCCAAATAATGGGGACTTCTGCTCTGATCACTGATTGCTGGCTATAATCACAGAAGCGTAGATGAAGAGGTGAAGGTCATTTTTGTTATGCCTCTCCGTCATGGTTGCAAGCCCCTCCCCTTCTAGCTGGAGTGACTTCCAGGGGATTTAAGGGGTTGGTGTCTTTTTTTCCTCCTTTCATTTGTCTCCTTTCACCTTATGGAAATCAGATCTTGAAGACTAGTGCATCCAAAAGCTGCTACATGTATAGAGGAAATTAGGAAGTCACTGCACATGTCCCGGCAAAGGCACGGGCTCAGAAAAACCCAAGAAAACCTTAAGTGTATAGCTCGGGCTGATCTGCCCAGAGAAAGCCTACAACAATTTAAACAAACAAACAAAAAAAAAAAAACAGTAAGTCTTAGAGAAGGAAGAGACTCTGATTTCCAGAAATACAACATTGTTAGATTCAAATGTCCAGTTTTCAACAAAAGAAAAATCACAAGTCATACAAAGAAACGGGAAAGTATGGCACATTCCAAGCAAAAGAATGAATCAACAGAAATTGTGCCTGAAAAGAACCTGATGGCAGATCTAATAGACAAAGACTTTAAAATGACTGTCTCAAAGACACTCAAAGAACTGAAGAAAGAAAGAAAGAAAGAAAGAAAGAAAGAAAGAAAGAAAGAAAGAAAGAGAGAGAGAGAGAGAGAGAG